TACTGGGGATTAAACAAACACAAGAGGGCTGAGTGAAAGGCAAGTGTCTAAACTGTCTCTTCGCTTCCCAACTTGCTTTGTATTTTCATCCCCAGTGATATGAACACTAATGGGTAATGCTAACAGTTCGAATAATGCTAACCAGTCCCAACTAGTCAGGGGACAGTCAGAAGGGTCCTCAGCATAGGCACAACTCTGACACAGGCTTTCTGACTTCCAAGCTGAACAGGGTCTGATATTGCCTTGTTTTTCCATCCACACTTAGTTTCCAGGGAAGAAAAAATGAGTGTGTGTCAACTTCAGGAGGGGCTTATCTTGTTAAAACAGTCTCCTCCAGAGGCCATTGGACAGTCAGGTTTGGGCCCACAGTGACAAGACATTTTGGGCCTCAGGGGATGGGGGTGGAGCCAGTCCTGTCCTCCCTGTCCCAACTAGACCCCAAGTCATCGCCCATGAACGGCCTCTCTGGCTCCTGATCAAGCTGCTTAATGGCCAAAATCCCAGAGACTCACTCAGAAACAAATCTTGAAACCCAGTGGCCTTGCAGAAATGTGTCTGGACCCCGCTGTAGGTTACTGTCGCCGGGCCACCCCAAGGGGGCAAGGAAAGGGTGCTATCCCTCCGCCTGCTCCCCTTTGGTGGCTTGGTGGCCGCCATCGCCCAGAGGCCATTGGACAGTCAGGCTTGGCCCTGCAGTGACAAAACTTGTTGGGCCTCACGGAATGGGGGTGGTGCCGGTCCTCTCCTCCCCACCCCAACGAGACCCCAAGTCATCACCCATGAACGGCCTTTCTGGCTCCTGATCAAGCTGCTTAACGGCCATGATCCCAGAGACTCAGGAGCAAATCTCGGAACCGAGCAGGTTTGGGCAGAAATCCCTCCGGATTTAAGTGTTAAAATTTCGGAATTTCAAAATCACGCCACCACTACTGCAGCCATGTGACATCATATGTTATTCATAACCAGCAATAGAAAACAAGTTGTCTACTGTTGCCTTTTCAGCAGATCTGAGTGTTGGGGTAAAATCTCAAATAATAATGGTGGGTCTGGTGTCAAAATACTGAATGTGATCAAAGTAGAGAGAGAATAATGTGGAAATCATCTGCTCCACAGGTAGGGGTAGGGTGTGGGATGGGAAATACTGGGGTTGTTAGGGGTGGAGAATGGGCACGGGTGAAGGTACGGGTGTTTCATTGTATGACCAAGACTTAGACCCAAAAGCTTTGTAACTGCTCTCACAGTGATCCAATAAATAAAATTATAAAAAATGAAAAAAGAAGTAAGGTGGAGTTCATGCACAATTCAATCAGCTAATCAGTGGCTGAATAAATAGCAGTACTCCTACATAAAAAAAAAAGTCTCCTCTTGCTCTCCCTGCTTCTGCTATGGCTTCCAGTCAGCCTAGTCTCCACCCCTCCCACCCACTTACCGACCAGAGAAATTTGTCACTATGGGAGTCAGAACCCATTCCGACACCTCAAATTCTCCGAATGGCACCCACCTCTCTCGGAGTGAAAGCTGCCTTTTCCCCCAAGAGCCTCTATGCTATGGATCCAGCCATCCTCTCCCATGAGTTCTGATTGCATTAGACTCGTGGCTATCGCAGGAAAATATGGGGCCTTACTTCAGTTACATACAGTGGAACTTCCTCTGCCCACTCTGCTCACCACCACAACCCTTATCTGCCTCCCATGGAACTGTTACCCGCTTTTCCAGGAACTTATCAGCTTTCTGCAGCCCCTTGACTGTTCTTATTTGTTACATGTGTTGTTTGTTATCTCCCGTAAGAACATAAGCTGTATGAAAGTAGGAAGTTTCATCAGTTTCGTTCACTGAGATAGCTTAACTGTCTTGAAGAATGTCTCGTGTCAAACAAGTGCTTGATGAGTGTTGATGTGTATTTGGAGAGTGAATGAATAAATGGAATCAATAAATAACACACAAATATACAGATTCTTTGTTCCCCAGAAGCATAGCCATGCTCAAGAGTAGAGTAATTGTGCACGATGAGAACTTGTGGGCAGTGACTCATTTTTAGAATACAAAACCTCATGCTCATACCATGCACATGCAAACAAGCCTGCTGTTTTCTCCCAGGGTTGATCTAAAAAAGGACTGCAGATTTATCTCGATCACGACCATCCTGTTGTTTGTCGATTGCCTTGAGCAGGCCCCAGTAATGTCTCCTTCATCCGAGCCCTGAGATTTTTTTAAAAGTGCCATATTAAAAGCTCTTTCAGGGTTAGGAGAATGAGACCCATCATTGTTACTGGTATTTGGCATACTGGGTACACCACGGGGAGTTTGCCAGACTCTGCCATGTGGGCAGGTTACATTCGGTACTTTCTATCTCATCAAAAGTAAAATAAAATAAAATGATAGCCAGGGCTGGAGATGTAGGATAGTGGGTAAGTTGCTTGCTTATATAAGGTTTAATCAGGTTGATCCTTATTGTACCCTGAGAATGGCCAGGAGTGATCCTCGATTACATAGCTGGGAGTAAGCCCTGAGCAAATTCAGGAAAGAGTAACCCTTAACCCCACAAAATAATAAGTTCCAGCACCTTTCAGAACCTCAGACCAAGCAAAATGGCCGTTGTGTGTATTCTGTCCATACCAATACTCAGTTTGCATGAGTTTATTAATACATATGGAGACCCTGGGAAAGTCGACTAAATTTATCCAGCAATTTTTCTTTGCTTGAAAAAAAATCTCAACATAAGGAAAAAAGGTGAAAATAATCAGGTCCTGCTTGACCACTCCTCTCCTTCTCACAATCAATGTTCTATAAATAAAATATTCCATGTTAGGGGCTGGAGAGATAGCACAGCGGGTAGGGCATTTGCATTGCACGCGGCCGACCTGGGTTCGATTCCCAGCATCCCATATGGTCCCCTGAGCACCGCCAGGAGTAACTCCTGAGTGCAGAGCCAGGAGTAACCCCTGTGCATTGCCGGGTGTGACCCAAAAAGCAAAAAAATATATATTCCATGTTAGATTTTCATTAAATAAGAAAACCTACTACTTGCTCTGGCCCATCTCGCAAAAGGAATGGTATTAACAATTAGGTGTGACTCATCTAGAAATACTTCTACTGCTTCAGGTGATGAGCTGAGAGGTGGTTCCAGAGCTACATTAGTGCTTTCTTTTAATCTGGAGCCATAGTCTGACTAAAAATGTCTTTCTATAAATATCATTAAAAGAGCTATTACTATCCTCTTATTATCTGTGGCTGCTTACAGCAATATAACATTTACTGCTACAATAGATTCTTGACAATGCCAAGGCCTTTGGGAATACAGAGCCTTTCCAATTTTTTGCCATCTTATTATAGCCTTTGGATCTCGCAGGCCACACGGAAATTAAATTTTCAAAAGTATTGGTAGCCATTAGGTGAATTAAGAATAATAGGTTGACCAAGTATGTCACTGTCACTGTCCTCCCATTGTTCATCGATTTGCTCAAGAGGGTCCAGTAACATTGTGAGACTTGTTAGTGTGTTTGGCATATCGAATACATCATGGGGAGCTTTCCAGGCTTTGCCGTGTGGGCGAGATACACTCAGTAGCTTGCCGGGCTCTCCAAGAGGGGCAGAGGGATTAAAGGCAGAGGAATCAAACTTGAACCGGCCAGGTTGGCCTCGTGCAAGGCAAACACCCTACCCGCTATACTATCACTCCAGCCCAACCAAGTATGTAGAAATAATAATTACTTTTCAGTCACCAAATAAATAAATATTCTGTCAGCCTCACAGCCCAGGACTTCCCAAAGGCTCAGGACAACTCTGAGATATAAAAATCACCTTCTTGTCCTCATAGACCTGATAGCAGTGAAGAATAAAGATAACAAGAAGCAAAAACAAGAGGAAAAAGCAGAAGTGATTCTGATGTTAGACTTCAGAGACACATAAGAGAAAAACAATGTAGATATACAAAAAAAAATGTTTCAAAAATTGAGTGATTTGAAAAATTTCCCAGAAACATGGATGTTGAACACAATTGGTATATATATTCTAGATATTGCTACAATGTTAATATATACATACATTTATAATTATATTTGTTTTGAGAAAAATGAAAATATTTAAAATTCTTTAATCTACGATATCTAATTATAGGTCTAAAAAAAGACTTAGTAAGTGCCACCTGAAAAATTAAGTGAACAAGTCATCCATTTACAGAAATCAGAAATGGTAAGAGAGGAAATTTGGGCTGGGTAAGTAAGACAGGTAGGGTGTACAAGTCCATTTAGTTAGACACTGGATACTAAATGAAGTGTCGATTTAGCATCAGACATTATCTAGTATGTTTCACTCATAAAACTTGAATTTAAATTTCACTCATCCATAAAATAATTATAGAAAACAGGGAAAGACTCACATTGACCAGGAGTACATAGTATCTGTACCATTTCTAATGACAGAGATTTGGGGTTGCTTATTTATCTTCTGTGAAAATCTTATTTTTATCATATAAACAAGTGAGGATAATAATGACAACTGTTGCAAAAAGAGTGAATTTATAATCCACATAAAATAAATAGTGTGGTGTCTAAAATACAGTGAAAATACAATAAAGATACTGGTGAAAAAGAAGCATAGACATTTATAAGGATGGGTCACAAAAGTAAGAGCAGCTAGAAATATTTAAAAGATTTAAAGGTATTCAAGGACATGGAAGAAAACAATGTTAAGTACACAATGTTTTATGGATATCATGGAGCCAAGGGTTTCAAACAATTTGCTTACACATAGTTATCAGGCAGAGAAATGGACATGTAAAACCTGATTATTCTTCATCAAGAAAGACCAATTTGGGGGTATTGGAGAGAGTACAGGTGATAAGACGCTCACCTTGCAAGGGGATGATCCTAGTTTGATCCTTAGACCCAGACATGGTCCCAGGTCAGGAGTAAGCCCTGACAATGCTGGATATGGCCCAAACCATCTTTCTTTCAAATTCAAACAAATAAAGACAAATTTGGGTAGATAAAGTGACCTACCCAAAGCTGGTCATCCATGCCTGGAGGGTTCTTTTTGATAAAAGCACCATAGTATGTAGCAATATTCCGGTGATGAGAATATTTCTTAAGCATGTTAATTTCTTGCTTGATTTCTTCCTCTTCATCCTGTATTAGAACAATAAATATTTCATCATAAAAATCATTGTTTTTATTTTACATTATGTAAACCATCTACCTATCCATTTATCTACATTTATCTATCATCTATAGCAACTGTATGCTAAGGTCTTCATTTTTTCCCCCAGTGGTGATAAACCAACAAAACTATTATAGAACTTGACTTTTTCCTTGATAAGAAAGTACAAATATACGACAACATATTGGCAGTCTTTAGGGAATTCTGTTTGAACAGTAAACATGCGATCTGTCATACAATCCAGTGAATAAAATAACAGAAACACAACAAACTAACATCTTCGTTCTTCACTTGAAAAAGAGCAAGGTAAGCAGATTATTGTGTCAAAATTTACTCTAGGAGTTGGAATATTAATCAAGCACTATCACTGATCAAATCTGGTATTGGAAAGATTGAGGAAAGTGACAAGATAAAAATGCAGGCTCTTAGATTTTAAATTGTGAGGTTCATTTTCTTTGAAGTCTACTTTTATTGAAGTACCTGATTGAAGATGATAAAAGTCAGATGGGCAAGGGAGCAAGTCTAAGTTCCTAAGATCTGAGGCATTCACAAAGTAGGAGTACCCATCTTACCTTCGGGAAACTTAAGTATGAAAAGAAAGGGGGGGGGGATGTGATGGTGCCATGAGTGTGAAAGGAGAGCACTCTCTTACAGAGTTTCTTATATCCAAGTTTCATTCATTCTGAGTTTCAGTCTGAAGAATATGAACACAAGCTGGTGAAAATACATATACTCCCCACATTTTGGAAAGGAGTATATCTATTCTCAAATACTTCTATCTTGATTGAAAATATGCCATTTGAACATAAGAGTGTTTTAAGTGTCAGGGTGAAAATATTTTCATCTCGACAATTCTCTTAAATGTCACAGCAATGATTATCCCTGAGAATAATACGCTTTGGGGCTTTAATTTTTTGTCGTTGGTTTGGACCACATGCGGCGATGCTCAGGGGTAACTCCTGGCTCTGTGCTCAGGGATTCTTACTGGTGGTGCTCTGGAAACCATATGGGGTGCCGGGGATCGAACCCTGCATGCAAGGCAATTGCGAAACCCACTGTACTATCTCTCTGGCTCCAGATAAGTCAACTTAACCTGAAAGAGCACTCATGGTATCCCTGTCTGCACCGTTTCCCTTACAGATGTTTCAGCTCCCTCCCTACATGTCTGGGCCCTTATATAATAACTTCATTTCCTCCATTCCTTTTCCCGTAATTCCTACTCATTATCCCTGATTGATTGAGTTCAACTGATACTCAATAATTGTATGACATATGTTTTCCTTAGTTTTTCTCAGGCAATGTTAAAGCCCTCCAGCCCCCTCCTCAATATTAGCTTGTCCATCTCCTATACTTCTTATAAGCAGACATTATATTTGCTGGTTCTGTAATGGAATATGAGTCTCACCAACTTGGATTTGCTCTTTTACTTGACCCTCTTCTCCCTGTATCATAAGCTTCCATCTTCTGTCAGATCCCAGTTCAAAGGTCTCTTCCACATCACAGCTTTTTAAATCTGCCTAATCCAATCACTGTATCACTGTCTTCCTGTTGTTCATCGATTGACTCGAGCAGGCCCCAGTAACGTCTCCTTCGTCCTTGCCCTGAGATTTTAAAAAGTGCCATATTCGAGGCTCTTTCAGGGTCAGGAGAATGATACCCAACATTTTTACTGGTTTTTGGCATATTGAATACACCACGGGGAGTTCGACAGACTCTGCCGTGTGGGCAGGATACTTTTGGTAGCCTGCCAGGCCTGATCCAATACCATGGATCAATCCCATGCCATGCCTATTCCATTTTAGCACTTACCGGAACTGCAACCCACATTCATAGGTCTGATCATTTTATTACAGCGTCCTACCCTTTCAGTCCATAACAATTATCACTACAAGGATTATACCTGTTTTTGATTTCTATAACATCCCTAGCCCGAAACAAAAGACCTGTTGAGTAAGCATAAGTAAAAAGGAAAATTTCTGCAAAGGGCCCAACTCCTTTCAGCATCATTGATGACATCTTATCCTTTCAGATGAGAATAAGCTAAGGAGAATAGTAAACTGTGACGTTTATGACCACACTAAAATATAATCACTGTACACAAACAAAGAAAAAGAAATGTGCAAACCTAGTAGAACTAAGCATGCTATACCTTACAAAGCTTAACTAAGCCAAAGGCTAGTAAACTTAAAATAGAATGCAGAATTCGGATGCTGAGCTAAGGAGAAACCTATGGCCCTTGCATTGAGGGGGAGAGAAGAGGAGTGAGGAGCAAGAAAAGATGTTGAGGGGTGTGTGTGTGTGTGTGTGTGTGTGTGTGTGTGTGTGTGATGCTGACCAAGGAATTCTCTTCTGCAGTGTCCTCCCCTTCTCTGCAGGCATAAGGAGAGTGTGACCTTCACAGGCCTTCAACTTGTTTAAGTGTTCCTGCAGTATATCTTTGACTACTTACTATGGTACATGTTAGCTATTTTAAATTCACCATGTAAGACCAAATAATTGTGGTTGAATGTACGATGTGAGTGGGTATACTTTTGTCTAAACAGAAGAAGAGAAAACAAATCTGAGGGTTTCTGTGGGCAGTCTGGCATCAGTGCAGCTGCTCTCTTTAAAGAGACAACTATATAAGGTGATGTGATACCTCCAACTTGACCAGGCCAGGCTTTCAGGCTCTCTTAAGTCATTTCTAGTGAGAAAATAGGTTGGTTTTGCAAGTCTTTGCTGCTTGCCTTTGATAACAGGAGGGTGGGTGATATGGGAGAATTCAAGAGGAGAAAGAAATGCTTTAAAATCAGCTTACCATATCATTAAGAAAATAAGGGCTGGAGCGATAGCACAGCGGGTAGGGCATCTGCCTTGCACGCAGCCAACATGGCCAACCCGAGTTCGATTCCTCCGCCCCTCTCGGAGAGCCCGGCAAGCTACCGAGAGTATTCGATATGCCAGACACAGTAACAACAAAGTCTCCAATGGAGACGTTACTGGGCCCGCTCGAGCAAAAGAACTCATAACATAGTTAAATAACAATGTAATTCAGTATATAATTAAGTCTAAAATAAATTGTATTGGAACTCAAGAGGACATCAACATATTCTACAGCCTTGCAAAGGTAAACTGAGGCAACCGGTCAACATGGAAAGCTTACATCAGTCAAATGAGGTTGGCAAAACAGAATATAGGGTGAGTTTGGATTTCTTTCCTTCCTGGTTTTATGAACTCAAGAAAAGAACCCCACCTGGGAGCTTAAGTTTTTCATCTATATTGTAAAAAAAATATTGTAATAATAGTGTGACTATGTATCGTTTTTTGGAATAGTTAAATGCAGAATATGAAAGTTATGGAGTGTAAAACCAAGTAAACATTATTAATCTTCTAAAGAATAAATCTAGAGGAGGAGGATAGGAATTTTAGGTTTAAACTGAAAGCTTCCCAAACACAATTATAGAACCACTGTGGGTTCATGACTATGTGACTATAATACAGAACCTTGATCTTGCTCTTAAATGACCCCTGTAAGTGAGCATGCAATTTACTGCCTTTGGGTCTACTTTTTATCTGGAGTTTCATTTCCAGGGAAATGATGGCAGCATGTTGTTCAGAGAAATTGAAAGAGACATTTTCTAGCAAGCAATAAAACCAATTAAATGCTCATGCATATATGTTACCCTCTCATATTGGGTTTCTTAAAGAAGGTGGGCGATATTGCATTCCAAAGGACAAAGACAAGCTCACTCCCTCACTGACTCTGCTCTCTAGATTCATGACTAAATCTCTGAGGAGATGTAAACAAAGCTGCTACAATTAATGGATCTATAGATCTCCTGGTTGAAAGCTCTGGGGTGCCTTCAGGAGAGGGGCAGGAAAGAAGCCCTGACAGCCACACCCACAATGCACAGCTGCTACTACACCAATGGCCCAATTCTATGTTCACATGAATAACCTCTTCAGAAACATCAGACCCCGAAAATTCCAGGTACACACCGGTTTTCAGGCTGAGAACTCTGGGGTCTTCTCAGAGAGTGGGTGGGCACCCCCCCCCCCATACTTCCAGAAGCTCCACCACCCACGCCCAGCCACTACCCTGTCAACTCAGGGTCAATTCTAGAAACCTAAAGTTCTGGACTGCAGAGCCATCTATCAGGTCTCAACGCCTCCAAACTCACAATACTGACATTCCAGTCAGAGCACACCAAATCAGATGGGAAAGTGGCATAGAAGCCAACTAAACTCAGCAAACAAAAACAGCAACACAGAAGGCTCAGCTAGCAACAAAGAGCTTAGACGTCAAACAAGGAACCCGAGGGGAGATGGAACAATCTTCACAAATTTTCCTTTACCTAAAAATTTCTGATAATTTTATTAGTCTTTTAACAGTGCTACCATACTAATTATAACAAGGAATATAAAAATAAATTACTATGTCTTTGCTAAGGGGGCAAGCTCCAAGGATTGTTGGGGACATTGAAAGCCCGTTGTAACTGTATGATGAACAACTTTGTAACCTACAGTTTAAATTAAAAATAAATAAATAAGTGAAATATCTCCCAAATAAACTAATGACACTGTGTCATAGTAAAAGCAAAGTAATAAATCCGAACTGCCACAAATTTATAAAGTGAATGGTTTGATTTATTTACTTTATTAAAGCACTGTAGGATAACATTGGTTTGTCTTTTCTGCCTTACCATAGGGAGCTTCAGTTTATTGGGTTACTCCCATCGCAGTGCTCCCATTCCTCTGTGTTTATTTGTAACTTCTTTCTTTGTACTCTGTTGACTTGTAAATATTGTTTTTCTCTTCTCCTTAAGTTCTTTGCATAGTTAATTCAGAGCAATGTCCTTTTTGTATGGACACAAGAAGACAGTTAATGCTATGCTTTTGGGAGTTAATTGATATTTACCTCCTGGGCATCTGTTTTCTTACCACCTAAGACTCAGGTGCCCTTACTTCCTAGCACCCCCAAAGCAGGGTC